TTTTTTAGGGCAACCAGTTTCTTCAAAATGTTTAAGTAAACTCAACTTATCCGGGTTTAGAGTGCAGGAATAAATTACATTTTAAAATATATTAAAGAGTTCATTTAAATATAATAATAGCTATTCACAAATAATATTTTCAATATGTTTTTACTGTATTTTTGATCAAATAATTGCAGAAACATAAAAAAATCTTACCAAGCCCAAACATTTGAATGGTGGTGTATATGGGTTTTACTGATTGCATTTATCATTTATCAAGATTTCACTCTTGTTCTCTCTTTCTCCTTACTTTTTAATTGTCTCTTATTCAGGTGATCCCAGACCATGCTGAACAGGAGTGGCACCCAAAGTGCCCAGATCTGTATGCTGGAATTTTTCACTTCCGTTTCTGGCGACTGGGCCAGTGGACAGATGTCGTGGTCGATGACCGTTTACCAGTCAGTGAGGATGGAGCGCTGCTCTTCTGCCGTTCTGCAACTCCACGGGAATTCTGGAGCGCTTTGTTGGAGAAAGCTTATGCCAAGTGAGATGCTTGTCAAATAAGACAGAATTGTTTCAATAAATTAAAGCTCTTTTATTAAAAAAAAAAAAAAATTGTGTCTCTCTTTTTGCATTTTTAGGTTAAATGGGTGTTATGAGGCTTTAGAGGGAGGTAATACAGCCGAAGCCCTAGTTGATTTTACTGGTGGCGTCTCTGAACCATTGAATTTGAACCAGGAGGAACTGATCCAGCATGCTGACCAGAGAAAAATGCTGTTCCAGACACTAGCACACGCACATAGCCATAAAGCGCTCATCACCTGTTCCATTCGGGTCAGAAAACAGGACATTTTTTTCTATTTTTTTTTACAGTCTAAACACCCTGGAAATCAATTAACTAAAGCAAATGCCACATAATAACTGTTCTCTGTGTCCTGATAGGAATAATGATACATTCAACTCACACAGCTCTGATTTTTACCTCTTTCTTTTGTACACACTTTGTCTCTTTTTGTGTTGCAGCCAGCAGAAGGAGAGCAGGTAGAATCAGTTCTGGACTGTGGACTGATAAAGGGTCATGCATACGGTGTGACTGCATTC